ACAATATAAAACCTTTTGACATATCGTGCATTAGTAATATTACTCTATATAGGAGAAATAATTGCTAATTGATTTATTTTAAATACGATCTAATAATAAATAATTACCAATATAATACAATATATAATACAAAAATTTAAAATTATAAAAATTTCTTGATATATCTCATTTGTTCAATTTTGAAGTATTGGATTAAAAAATAATATGATTCGAGATTTAAACAAAATTTTTTAAACAAAATTTTAGAAAAACTGCATAGTTTTAAAAAATTTTAATAATCTCAGACAAATCTCATTTCTGAGATAAATTATCGCACGATACGAAAAGATATTTATGAAATCATGAAAGACAATAGACATAAATACTAATAATATATCTCAACTTTTAACTTAAAATTGCAAATGGATAAAATTAGTATAATTTATTTAATTATGTATTATTTTTAATATATTTTTAATGTATTGTGCTGTAATTTTTTTTTTACAACTCTTGAACTCTTTTCTATATTTTAATGTAAAATAAGCAATGAGAAAATGTAATTTAAAAAAAAATAAATGTAATTCAAATTTCTGTTTTATATTTTTTATATTTTTTCGTTGTTTCTAACATTATTTATCCATATTATTATATAACATTATTAATGCATTATTTATAATTTTTCGATTCTTTTAAAGCTAACGAATCGTAATATCATAGCCTTTACACATGAATAACCGGTTGTGAAAACAAATATTTTAAATTTTCTATATAAGGCTACTTGTCTTATGTAGAATCTTATGCAAATCTTTATGCGACTCTGATATCGTTATCGCGTGTACTAATCGCCATTGTTAATGGAACGTTATCGTTAGGTTTCGTAGCTGCGAGAGGGTTAATGCAAGGTGTACGTTTATGCCGTGCTGCAAATGTCATCGTTTGAGATATCTGCTCTAAGACCGCAATTCACGGAGAAGGCGAGGCGATCTATAGCGTGTCAGACTGTTAGTTAGACGGACTGCAAGCCTACGGAGTAGCACAGGATGCGTTGTATCAGAACACGAGTAGCACGCGGCTTGTCAGTGATAGAGCAGATAATATATCAGACGAACGCGGAGCATAATGCATGTATCGTACCGCTAAGCGACGTTAAAATCATGTACACGTTGCCGTTTAACAATGATTTATCACGAGTATCGAAAGGTAAATCCGAAAGTTTTAGAAACGAGAGCCTTTACGCAAGCCAAATGAAATAAAATGCCATTTTTGCGCGATTTTTACTTTGCCGAAACCGATCCTATTTGCACAATAGCTTTGCGAGCCTTCAATAACGCAAATATTTGCAAACTATTGTTACGTGACATCGACGAATGTCCTGTATTTTACAGGCAACGCGAATTTTTTTTTTTTTTTTTTTCTAGTTCGTTGAACAATTTGCATTTTCCGGAAACCGGAGTTTCGATCCTGGTTTCCTTTATCGGTTTCACGCGATACTCCGGATTTCCGCAGTGCCAAAGTCCGTTGCACTTATAGCACAGAACTACCGTTCCAAACTGTTGTATATTATAATGTCATCTACTTGAATACACCAGAGGCTGCCGGAGTCTCCCACCCGGTATATCGGCTTTTTCTTTACGGTTTGTTTATGTCGCATGCGCACAATCCACCCCCGAAAGCCGCCGACTCTCGTCCACCCTTCCAGTCGCCGGGAAGCGTGCGGATGTTTTGCATCGTTCGTCGTTCGGTCGTCGGATTTTCCTATCAGTGCAGGTGAACATCTGTTGTTTCTGTCATTTGCAAGATAATCGATTGCGTCGATCGTGTTGCGAAAATCTCCCTCCGAGATATATCACAATGTGGCTACGACGCGATAGAACAGTGATGTACGAAATTTCGGAATTTTCGAAATAACCCTCCCCCGAGTAGTCGGAAGCAGTCCAAAATTAATATCGATAATCCGCTGTTAAAAACCTGTGAGGCTGTTCATGTGTGACGATTTCGGAAATTTTTCATTTCCGTCGCAATTTTTACGTAAAAACTTTTGCGTAAAACGCGACGATGCTCAAATAATCAACCGCGAACAGCGGTGCGTCTTCATTTCGGGTTGAGATCGGTGTCGGACGGACAAAACGGCAAAGAAAGTGCACGTTTCTATATCCCGATAAAAATACTTGAGATACTGATTTCAAAGAATTTCGCGAGATAAACGTTGTTAGACGCTCGTTTGCGTAAATTATACGAGACGAATGTGGTAACAAGAATTTCGGAGCGCTCAAGACTCTCAAAACTTTAACGTGCATATTGAAACACGGTGTATCTATGAAACTCGTCGTGAATCAAGCAAGTAAAGTGTCAGCCTCGAAACAAGGATTACGAGGACCAGCAACGATTCCACATGCGGTAAGCTTACTCAAGATAGTATGTGTTTCGCATCAAATGTCTTTCGCATGTTGAACACGCTCGAAAAATCTAGTCTTTTCATCGGAATATCACGACGCTTAATAATGCATATTCCGTATGGAAGAACAAAACGCATCGGCGAGTTAGTCGGCGCAGTTGTATTAAAAATTACGGACTCTGCGGGACTCGGATGATCTCTAATCGACTTTGCTCGACGGCTTTAACATACGTAAACGTCTGGTTGACAAAGTTAGCGAATGTAATTCAAGCGCTTACCGGCTTATCCGCCTCTGTTACACATAACCGAAAGAAAAGAACTCGCGTTAAAATCTCACCGCGAGCTCTTTCCCGGGGATAATCTGCCCGTTGATAACGGGCGTTCGCGCGCGCGCGCCTCTCCGCGTACAATCCGCGTTTATTGTGCGGAGAGATCTCGCGCTCGCGTACCAACATGTCGACGTAATCCGTTCTCGGTCGTAATAATCCGTCAAAATAACGGCAGTGTTTTTGTCGAGTAAATTTTGCCGGGTATTTTTTTTCTTTATTATTATTATTTTTTTTTTACGGCCTCTGGCATAGAAAGCATCACCGCGTTTCAACGACGTGCCGCGTTGCACTCCCTTTATATCCTCGCCGTCGATGCACTCTGCATTTACGCGTATCTATCCGCGTATTACCCGCATCTATCTCGCGGTATAGGCGGCTAATTGAAATTCGGATAATGGGCAAACCGATAAGCGGCACCGTCCACCGCCCCGCAGCGAGGAAAGTGTTTTTGTCGGCGTCGTCCGGCTGAATATCGCCGGGTGAAAATTCGTTTTCACGGCTCGTTATGGTTATCTCGATACGATGCGTGGCGACGCGATATTTTTATGGGACCCGGGCTGGCGGGCAACGATAATCCAGCCGGGCGACGCCGCGTCATCGCCCCCCCCCCGTGCGAATATCGTTAGCAATTGGTTTTAGTGATAATGGGTATTCATTGACATTGATTGGACGCCCGTTAGACGGGACTAATTGATCCATTAGACGAACAAGGTCTTTCCTTGAGGGCTCGATATCGCGAAGGTCTCGCCAGCCTCGTTAGCACATCGTCGTTAACATCTTACTTATGCGACGCGCGCGCACGTTAATGGATAACAAAATTTATACGATAACGGCAAGACAGGGGAAATATATGGAGCGTAAGATCGCATTAATGGCGGCACGGTACATCCGAGATTCGTGACATTATAATCGATTTCTCGCAGCCGCAACCGTCTTTCGATTGAGATACAGTGAGAAATAAAGTAGAACATTGTAAGGGAAAAGTATAGCGCTTTCTCTCTCTCTCTCTCCGCTTCTCTCTCTCTCTCTCTCTCTCTCTCTCTCTCTCTCCCATTCCTTGTAGTTTATTCCTATATTCCGTTGCATTTTGCTCTGTCTTTAACTGTCGCAAGCATGATCACTCGACTGTGTCCGCCTGATAATTTAGGTTTACCCAACGATTCGCATTTGCGTTAATGATGACCGTATTATTAATTGCTACGCGCGCGCGCACACTCACGTCGGCCCTCGTCATTTTGATTTTGTGTGCGTAAGCAGAATGAACACCGTAGGTGGTCGCTACGGTGTTTCCAGCCGGACGATCGTCTTTCACCGTAATAAAAGAGCTACATAATTTAAAACGACCCGTCGGAGATAGGGACTTATAAATCGTTTCGGTCGCTAGGGTGGTCAACATTATCGCGTTATCGGAATTACGAGGGGTGATCTCATTGCATAAACCCTATGCGGAACGTGGCGTCTTTATTGTTTTCCACGTTGCCGTGGTATCATCCCTCGTGCGTGAGTCGTGTTCGAATGCGACAGCTTAGCCGGCTGGGGCGAAGATTTTACGCGAGAGATCGAAATATCTTAATAAATAAAATAATAAAAGCAAGATAATGAAAACGAATTGCGTATCCGTGTCATTGTGTGTGTATGTGTGTGCATGCGAATCT